GGTGGTGGTGGTGGTGGTGTTGTTGTTGCATGTAATATTATTCAGTTTCCACTTTTTACGAAATATTGATTTTTATCTCTTAGTTTCTTTAAGATCTCCAAATTGCCAGATTTCGTATACTTAAGTTACAAATACATAGAATATCTTATACATGTAATTATTGTAAAATATAAACTATACTAAAAAAAGAACAGAGAAATGAATGAATAGACTAAAATAATCAACAACGATGAAAAGAAAAGAAGCATCACTCTAGCAGGAAAATAGTGTTAGTCATGATAATAGTAATTTAAAAAAAACAACTAAAAGAACATGGTAGGTATGGCAGATATGTACGTCTTGTAGTGTAACTGAAAGGGTCCGAAAAATAAAGGGTCTTTTTCGTCACATTTTGCTAAAAAAAAAATTAATATATATATTTTAAAAATATTTAAAAGTTGAATAGAGCTCTTGGAAAGACGCCATAGATCTACGTCAGAGCATACTACACAATAATTATGACATATTTTTATGTGTCACGAGTCACGACGCAGTGGGATCAGGCGCTCGTCAATTTTTGGACAAGTAGAGTTATTGGTATCCCCTGAAAACCGATTTAATTACCTTGCTGCCAAAAATATATATTACCCTTTTATCTTGAGTAGATCCATTCAAAAAATTTGAGATTGAAGGAGGTGAGGTCGCCTGATTTCAGTGGTAAAATGTGTGAGAAAATGGCTTCCAAAGTTTGGTAACTCCAATAGCTAGAGAGTTTTTGAAAACTGAAAAATGACATAATTTGTGCTTTTAATCAATGTTTTTCAGATAAATCCACGTACATGGAAATGTGTTTTATATATGAACCTAAAAGAGGTTAAGCCAAAAAATAAAAAATCGATACAAATTTCCAAATTGGCGGAAAATGCCAGTTACTCCAGTTTTTTTCTATTTTGACGAGCGCATGATCTAATAACGCTGTCACTCAGACACACCTTTTGAATGACATGACTGGATGGATTGAAGCATAAATCAGAAGTATGAGTTAAAGCCTTTATACAAATTACTCACAATCGATCGTACGTGATCGTACATCATGTTTAGATCTATGCCACGATGTGTGTGTTCCTGTTTTCTAGGGAGAGAAAGAGAGAGAGAGAGAGAGAGAGAGA